GCAAGTCTGCTGTTAAAATGGTCCCTGATGGAGGCTGGAAGTAAGGGAGAGAAATACTTTTCTTGTGAGACAATGTCTGCTCTGGGTCAAAATCAGGAGAGACAACGATAATCTAATGGTTTGGTCTGAAAGGCTGGGACGCTAGCTGCATGGGGGTAAATTGATTTCCCTTTCCATTTTGCTGCCGTTTGGTGTGTGTGACACACTCCTCCGAGAGCCCTGAACCGTAAGCCACTGTTATTCCTTTGCCTCCGCCGGTGAGAGCTGGGCTGCCGCTTAACTGTGTGTTTGCTCCCCGTCTGTCTGCCTGGCCAACAGACACGAGACTCTGCCTGCCTTAACATTAACCAGCCTTAGGAAGGGGTGAACCCCACTTCCCCAGTCCCTCCCACTGGATACAGTAAGTTTGCTGCCTCCAAAGAGGCAGTGTACACACCAGCTTGTTCGGTTAGCTAGGGACTCGCTCTGTACCCCGTATAGCAGCATGCAGGTCTGCTTTAGAGTAAAACTAAGAATACGTTTATTAACAAAACAGAGATTGCATGATACTAAGCAGAGATAACAGAGACAGAAAAAGGTTACAGACGAAACAAAACCTCCTTTCTAGTGACCAAAAACTTACTTCTAGCAAGCTATAGCATTGCCTAAAACAGTTTCTCCTGCCCTACAGGCCAAGAGGATCCACCATGCCCAGGCTCAGAGAACACTGTTCTCTGTGTCCCCTAAATGATTGATGGGGGAGGGATAGCTCAGTGGTTTGAGCATTGGCCTGTTAAACCCAAGGGTTATGAGTTCAATCCTTGAGGGGGCCACTTAGGGGTCTGGGGCAAAATCAGTACTCGGCCCTGCTAGTGAAGGTGGTGGGGCTGGACTCAATGACCTTTCAGGGTCCCTTCCAGTTCTAGGAGATAGGTATATCTCCATATATTATTTATATTTTATTAGAATGTCTTTTTGCTCGCCTTCAGGTTTTCCAGCTCCATGGCCTTTGTCTCAAGGGCCAGGAAGACCATCTGATGGTGCAGATGCTGTCCCCCAGTGTGCTCACTAAACTGCTTCCTCCTCAGCTTGTTAGCTCGGTTTCTTTGTTTACGTGATACCTAAATGTTCTTCCATTGCCCTCTTCAGGCAGGCTAATACCTTTGTCTAGGGCAAGTATCAGAGGGGTAGCCGTGTTAGTCTGAATCTGTAAAAAAGGAACAGAGGGTCCTGTGGCACCTTTAAGACTAACAGAAGTATTGGGAGCATAAGCTTTCATGGGTAAGAACCTCGCTTCTTCAGATGCAAGTCTAGGGCAGTTGGTCGACGCATTCCCTCCCAAACACAAAAGCATAACAATGAATTTCCCAAGGTACGTAGTACACAATGTATAGGGAAGTAACAGTGCACAGGCAAACTTGAAATGCTTTTAAGGGTGATCACTGGGGCGTTGTGTTAAAACCCAGCACGTTGCATCATCCCAGTTGGTGCTGAGTTTTAAAGTTGGTTTAAACTTTTGATCTGATTGGCAAAAAGTCATCCCATTTCTTTTTAATGCAGGCAGCTGTGATGGCATTGAGCAATCCACCTGTTGTGCCAGCGTAGCTTTGAGTGAAACACTTAATTCAACTGTTTCACTCAAAGCTACTGAAAGCCACTAACGGGCACAAGGCCCCCTGAAGCTTGCAATGCATTTGTCTGTATTAACTCTTTGGAGGCTGCAAACATAGATGACTGAGTTTGAATCAGTTGCTAGGAAAGGATCTTAAATTTCTATGGGGACCTTTATCCCAACAAGCTTTATGAACTCTTCTGGGGGTACATCCTGGCAAGCCCAGTGAAGTCCATGGGGGTTGCCCAGGTCTGAATGGGGCAAAATGTGGCCACCCATATGCACCCATGCAAGGAATTCCTTCTGCCTTAGAGGTTGCTGCGTTTCAGTGGTGGGTGAAGGAACAGCACAGCAGGAACACTGCATATTAGATTAGGACAGGGAGTGAAAACTAGCGTGGCATCCAGTCGGAACAGCAAGGGGAAGTTAGTCAGAATGGAAGTATAAATAAATGACTGCTGCCATTCGGGTGCTTTAAAATTCCCCCTTGGTCTGCAGGGGTTTTCCTGCCCTGCAGGGTGAGTTCCATTGAATAGCATTGAGTTCCTGGACAGTAAAATTGTCTCCCTTTGTGTGGGAGGGGTGGGAATTTAAGGCTCCAGATGCCTTCATAAGACAAGGATTGCAGGTCAACTTTTTCTTCTGTGAGTGCACCAGGATGCTGGGGGGAGAAGGGAACTAGCCCCCCTTGCAGTGAGTTAGTGAGCAGCAGGTGTGCAGGGGAAGCTGTTCTTCACCAGTTAGAGCAGGGCACTTGGCAGTCAAGGCTCCTGGCTTCTCTTCCTGATTCTGCATTTCCGTGGGACCGTGGCAACTTTCTGTGCGCTTGTTCTCCCCCTTCCCCCCAGGTTACTGTAGAATACCCACTTATTAAGGGGGTTCGGAGGACCTCTGAGGGCTGCAGATGATTATCGTTCATAGCAACGCTGACCTGTAAGAACGTGTCCTCTCCCCCCCCCCCCATCTAGTCATCGCTTGGCCATTGATTCTTGGCAGCAGATTCTTTCTGCGACTCACCGTTGTGGTGACAGCGGGAATGTCGGGCGCTTCTAGCCAGCGAGGCAGTTTGCTCAGTGCAGCATCCAGCACACTGGTGGTCACTGGCTGTTTTGAGGTCAGCCCCAACTGGCATGCATTTGTGAAGGATGCCTGGAAATGGGCAAACAAACGAGGCAGAGGCATTCCCGTGACCTCGTCGTATCTGCCTGCAGCAGATAGCAAAGCGGTTTATTGTCGGGGCCGATCTGCGGTCCCAAGGAGAAAAAGCAACTTCCTCTCTTCTCTCCCCTTCTCCCCACTGCTTTTATTCCTTTTTTTTTGGTGCACGCTAACTGCTGTGTCGGTTGAAACGGACCCTGGGTTGGGCATGCGGTGCTCTTGTCTCTAGCAGTGGCCAGGAGCGGTTTGAAAGGGGCTGAGCTGCAATGTACAGTAGTGTCAATGTTCTGTGCTGCTCCCTGTGTGTTGGTGACAGGGATCGACTCTCAAAACCCTAGGCACAAATGAATACCCCAACTGAGACCCAGGTAGCTTTGGGTGAGGGGTTAGTATGTGCGGAGGTGGGCTGGAATAACACTTGGATTTCTCTTGCACGTAACTGAACAGCAGTTCTGCACGTAAAGGGTTCACCGTTGCAATGGCAGCGTTTGCTGAATCCAGGCACTGGTGGAAATTTATGCTTTGTATAATGAACAGTTAATACGGGAATAATGCTTAATGCCTCTTAAACGGCCGGTAATAGGGGGCAGCATTAAGACATTAGTTACTTTGAGTTGAAATCCTGACAAAGCGGGGCTTACAAACCTCTCCAAGCAAACCGCTTAAAGTGACTATAAAAATCAACAACTTGTCAATCTCTCTTTTTCGGGTGGGGGTGGGGGGGACTCTCTCACTCGTTGGGTTTTTTTCATTGTGGCTGAAAAAGGAAGTGGAACATCTGAGATTCCGTTCAAGAGGTGGGTGACTGGAATGCTTGTGAAAATACACCCTGTGCTGTGGTGGATTCCCTGGTATTTGATACGGGTACCAGTGACTTAGATCAAAGGTGTGTGGTGTTCATGTAATGTTTACATAGCACCATTGTTTGTGAAGCGCTTTAAAAGAGAATGAAAGACATGGCCTTCCTGCAGACACGAATCTAAGAGCTGCTGTGGAGTTCTCTGGGATGCCTCCCTTCCGTAGGGGTGCGCCCATGGGAGAAGTGTTTGCAGCATCAGGGCTTATATCTGATGGACACAAACAGGATGATGGCATCCAAAGAAGCATGTGGAAAGAAAAGTGTGAGTGTGAGCTATGGGTAACTAGGGATGTAAATATCGTTTAAAAAGTTAACCGGTTAAATGATTAAAGTTGTATCGTTTACCCAGTTAACCGATTAAAGGGAGGGGGGTGGGGCTGGGGTTGCTCCTGGGGTCAGCCGGTCTGGCCCAGGGCTGCTGTTCTGCCTGGCCGGCTGCTTGGGTCAGTCGGCCGGCATGGCCCGGGACTGCGGCTGGTGGTGGCTGGCTGGGGCTCCTTCGGCCCACCCAGGGCTGGGGGTTAACGGTTAGGCTGGGTTAACCGATAAGATTAATGCTTACCAGTTAACTGTTCAACCGTTTACTATTTTACATTTTTATGGGTAACAACAAATAAAGCTGGAGCTTGAAATCCTAGTTTTTTTAAATGGATGATCGGGATGGTGCTAGAGTGGAGGCAGTGAAAGAAGTGAGTGAGTTTTAACGGGGGATTTGAAGGCTGAGAGTGAGGATGGACTTGAGAGGTGGGAATGACGATGTCATCTTGTACATCTCCCAATGGCTCATGAACAAAACATGTTCTCCAGCGTTTTCCCAGTCAAGTTTGAAATGACTCAAAGGGTTCCCACCAGTTCCCCATAGACTTTTCTTGACAGTTCAGCCTCCATTTTCAGTTCCTTTCAGCCCATTTACACCTATTTTACAGTGGCTGCCTCCTGCTGGGAATGAAGTAGTTAACACTTCAGTCTCCACCAGTCGGAGCAGGTCACGTCTCACCCGTACTTGGATGTTTTGAGACGTAGACCCTGATCCATGCAGGCAGAATGTGGTTATAGTCAATGAAACCCAAGCAAGCTGACTGCATGGGTCTGTTTGCAGGATCAGCGTTGTACCTTGTTAATATTTTGTCAGGTGCTGCGTACCACGGTGATGTGCTCAGTGGAAATGCCTATGGATAAATCAATAAAAATAAACTCTTATTTGGGCTTTCGTACGGTTGGAATGTTCCTTCGTTAAAGGAACAAGGCAGTCCTGCTCTGATGTGAAGAAAAGTCCTTTTAAGAAAATATAAGGCAGTGAGGTTTTAGAAACCATTTGTGGCTTGACTTTGTTGTTTAGCTGGACTGTGGTTTGAGCAAGTTTTAATCTTCTGCTTTCCTGTTTCCTTGCAGTTGTAGGGTGACGTGGCCAACAGGCGCATAATGAAGAGGAGCTTTTGGATTTCCTAGTTCTTCGAGACGGAGATTCAAAGGAGACGAACCTCCCATCTGCTTCTTTGCCATGTCTGGATCTACTCAGCCCGTGACGCAGAACTGGCGAGCCACCGAGCCACGCTATCCCCCTCACGCCATGTCCTATCCTGTTCAGATCAGTCGGACACATGCGGTAAGGCAGACCTCTTGCTTCCTTCGGGACAGGCGTAGGATTGCGTGGCCCTGTTGTCAGGGACAGTGATTTGGATTTAATGGCTTCCGCTGACGTGGGGTGTCGAAGAGAATTGAAGCCCACTTCCGTCTCTGCTAATGGGATTTCTTCTTTCCTCTCCCATCTTTTCTCTCTCTTCTCCATCCTCAGGGTGGCTATAACTTCTCCCCTTCGCCACCTGCCTCAGTGCTGCTCAGGGCTCCAGTTCATGGCTGTACTCTCAGAAGCTTGGTGGGTCGCTTGTTGTCCCAGAGAGAACACAATGGGTTAAAGGAACACGAGCGGGCGTTGGGAGTGGAGGGGAAGTGCGGTTAACCGCATGTGTGGAGTTCAAGGACTCTGCCTCTGTCCCTTTCTGGCTCGGCTTTTACAGTGTGTGCTGAATCATGAGGTGGCTGGCATCCTTCCCTGAATGCCAACGTATCGCTTCCCAGCAAGCCTGACCCTCCGCGCTCACGTTTGTTTGAGAACTCTTGTGATTTCCCCCAGGGCAGGCAGGCAGCCATGCCAAGGGGGCCGGCATCTAATAAACCTACTGTTTGCTTTTCAGTCAGGTAGCTGAGACCCCCTCTCTTTGTAGGGCTTCTGGCTTGGGGAGGAGGTTGCATATTGTGTTGGTGAAAGAGAGGGGAATCCGTGCTTTTTTTTTTTTTTTTTTTAATAACTCCCCCCCCCCAGCTCTTAAGTTTTTCTCTTCTCCTGTAGATGAAAGGTCTTGTCTTCTGTTAGACTGGGAAATAAACTGAGGCAAGGAATGTACTCAAGGATCAAAGTCTGGACTCCTGGCTCTGAGTCCCCCCTGCTCTAGCCACTGGGCCGCACTGCCCAGTCACTCCAAAACACTCACTTGCCCTCATGGGGCACTCCGGAGGATTGGAAAGTCATCTGGGATAGCCATGTCTGACACAGAGGGAAGCAGGCTGGGTTTTTGGGCTCAGCCCAGAGTGGTGAGGGAGTGTGGGAGAATCTAGGCTTTGTCCCGAAGAAGCTGTTTGCATGTGAATCAGTTGTCCTTCCTTAGTGGTGTTTGCTAGCAAAGCTGTTTTCCCTAATCCTATTATCCAGAAGCCATGCAAGACAGCGCTTCTATTTGATGACTCAGAGCTAGGAAGGGTTAACCCGTCCAAATCCCGCTGCTCTGTACTGTTACCCCTACCCTGGCTCGCTCCTCCCGGATCTTTGAATGTTTGAGATTTAAGATCGAAATGGAAGAGACTTTCCATAGTGGAACAGCTTCCATCGGCACAAGCTGCTTGAACGAATCTTATTAGGTGTCGGAGCGTAGAACGTACTTGTCAGGGTGCTCTTTGGAGCCAGCACCTTGGTGAGTCATAGCAAGTTGACCACAGTTACGAAGGCGTTTATAACGTGTTTTACTGCCGGCGGGACGAGGTGACCTCGTTTCAGGGTTAGCTTTGTAACAGGGAATCCTATTGAACTGCAAAATCCCCGTTGTGATCGTGTGACAGGCCTGACTCGAAAGCCTCCAAATCCAGGAAATGTTGCTGCGAGGCTGAAATTCTATTCTTCCCCCACTCAGTAGCACAGCACCCATGGGAGTGTCTGGGAGGGGGTGGGAGTCGGGGAAGCCCTGCGGTAGAAAGCCAAGTAAGGTGGGGGGAAGGGATGGGCTTTCGGCTCCGTTTCTTTGCTCGTATGGGTTGCTTGGGGCCTTTTTCCTGCCCTCGTTTACATTCCACAAGGAGGCTTTTCGTCCTAGGTAACCGAGAGACACGTGTGAGTCTTGACACGGTTTTCCCTTCCGCGCACGCCGTGTGGGGCACGTGAGGGGCTCGGCGCTCTCACCTCCCTGCTGGCCCCTGGAAAGTACACTGGGCCTTGACGAGCTGGTGCTCTTAGCCTTCCAGCTCAGCTCCCACCCTCCTCAAATATTTGCGGGTATTCCTCCCCGGCTTGGGAGCACCCTAGTGCCAAGTCTCACTGTAGCTGGAGGAGAGCAGGAGAAGGGAAACCCTCTTGGCTGGTGGGGGGTCTCTTCCCCACCCCCCCGCAGTCTCACCCCAGTCTGCAGGGGGAATTTTGGGTCCTGCTCGTGGGGCGGCTTTCTGCCAATTTGCCGCTGATGCGGGGTGGTCATCAACCTGGCTGGCAGGCTCAGGCGCACTTCTGCCTGGGCTGCAGCTCCTCATCCTAACCTTTGCTGATCAACCGATTAGCCACAGATGGGGTAGGAGCTACTCTGTCTCTGGACCCCTTATTGGCTGTGGCAGCATGCGGTTTATACGCCCCAGCACAGCGCCGTTTCACAAGGATGCTGTGTGCATTGGAGTGAAGGGGCAAATTCTGTCCTGATCTGAAACTAGACATGGGGGTGGAGGCTGAAGGGGGCGTGGGGGTGGGGGGGCAGAGAAGCATGCCAGGTTTGCAATAATTTCAGAGCCTTTAAAAAGAGTCCACTTTGAGGGTGACCCCCAGAAATGAGCGAATGCTCAGGGCTGTGGGTTCGACTTCTTATATCTTCCAAACCAGCTTTGCTTTCCCTTTTGTGGCACCATCTAATAAAGTGAAACCAACCAGTTGTGTTGGATGCAAGTTGAAACATGAGTGCTAGATTTTTTTCCAGCCTGCCCTTCCTCGCTGGCTGGCGTGAATGCTGTTTTTATTTCGCTGAGTTAAGGTTGGAGCGGTTTGCTGGCGCAGCTTCTAAAGGCTATTTTTACAGCCGCATTAAATCTTCCAGAGTTATGTGATACCGCTGAGGTGTTTAGGAGCTGGAGAGGCCTTGTTTGAGGCTGCAGATGGGAACCCAAAAGGATCATCTCCTACTTAGTGAAAACAGAGCAGTCTTTCCCCCTCTTCCCACCCACGCAGCCTTCACCGTGGTCCCATCAAAGCTACCTTGTCTCCCTTAACAAGGTGGAGGGTGGGGCATTTCTCAGAAACCTCTCCCTGTGTGATCTCCTTGTGCTCTGCAAATGTACATCTCTTACTTGGCAGAGCTGGCACCTGACCGTGGCGGTAGGGACAGAGCTCCTCTCTGGTGGGGACTATTGGGGAGGGAAGATGCAGTTGATTGCTTTTGAAGTTGCCTTGCAGTGTCGTACTAATCCCAGCGTGGAGCTTGCTTGCATGTCTCGGTCAGGTCACTTTTGTCATGGGCTGGCTGTGTAATAGGAACTAGTTTGGAAGGAGAGGGTGCTAATAAGCGTCCGCTTTTAATGATATTTTGATTCAGGTTTGCTACGTCCTAGGACATATTTTGCAAGAACAGGGTCCTAGCCCTAGGTAAATTCATGACTGCTTAGTCCGCCTGCAGGATATTTTTGATTACGTTGGTAGGGACTGTTCATTTGTACGGTGTTTAGCACTACGGTGCTCGGATGTCTAGGTGTGACCTTAATACAAGTCAATCCATAGGTTTGTCTGTCTGTCGGTGGTCCTGCAGTCACACACCTTGACCCCACATCTGCTGTTGAAAACAGCCTTGTAGAAACAGTGGGGGGGTTCAGAAATTAGCCTTAAAATTGTTTGAGGCTCAGAGAAACTTCCACAGGAAGAGAGATTTGAAACATTGCGGCTGTTCCCTTTAAAAAGGAGGCAAATAAGAGGGGACATGATAAAAACTTGCCAAACAATGGGTGGTACAGAGAAGGTAAATGTGGAACTTCTATTTGCCTTTCTCATGATGCAAAAACAAGGGCACAAAAACAGAAAGGCAGAGGACTTCAAATTAAAAAAAAAAAGCTACATATTTTATGGATAACTTATGGAACTCATTAAGACCATGAGTTGGGAATTTGAAAGAGGACTGGACATTTATATGTCTAATGAGAACATGCAGAGCTTCCTTAGTAAGGATTTAAGAAAAAGGAACAGCCCCCTGCCTGCCAACCTCTCCCCCCCCCAAATTTGGAAGAGACATAAATCCTCATGCTTCAGAGTATAAACTAACCTCTAATACATGGGGTTAAGAAGAAATTCCCTGTATAGGTAGGTAGGTTATTCTATCATAGCGCACTTGAGTTTCTTTCACCTTCCTGGGAAGTATCTGACCACTGTCAGAGAGACCGGATGCTCGGTGAACCCCACTGGTCTGGTATGTTATACCATCCCTGTATAGCTCACTTCTGCTTTATTTAAAATAAATTATATGCAATCTCTGTAGAAGTGTGGGTGCTCTTAATGGGAACAGCAAAAGCCATGCCTTTTTTAAGGCCAAATTCGGCAATGGTGATGATCTGAAAACAGCTGTGTGAACGGTTCCCCCCCTTGGCTCCCAAGTGCACTGAATCATCGTGGACCAAGTGAAAGGGGACAGCAGAGCATTTTCCACATTAATGATTAGCTGGAGCCGCATAATATGTGGCTGTCTTGTCAATTGCTGTCTCGCCCAGCTCCTGGACGGAGGGATTGCTTATTGAACATTCTGTGACCTTTCGCTAAAGGTGAAAATGCAGATTACTTGTATGCTTAACCTTCTAATGTGTCATGAGCTCCTGCTCTCTCAAAGGAAACCTTAACATGAACGGTTTTCATTTTCCATCAACCCGCAGAGATTTTCTGTAAACAGATCAATTAGAACATAAGAACGGCCCTGCTGAGTGAGAGCAATGGTCCACCTAGTCCAGTATCCTGTCTTCTGACAGTGGCTGGTGCCAGATGCTTCAGAGGGAATGAACAGAAGAAGGCAATTTGAGTGGTCCATCCCCTGTCATCCAGTCCCAGTTTCTGGCAAATTTCCTTTTATAGCCTTGCCTCCATCCTTCACTGTTAAGCCCCAAGTAATCTGTAGGCAATGGGGTGGGAAGGGTTCCCCCCATTCATATATCAAATTTCCTGTGGTGTCCTCCTTAATCGTCATAATTCACCAGCTCGTGCCCTGCCGTTTCAATGCTGTACGAATGACTATGACCCGGGCAGGAGTGGGAGAACCTGCATGGTAGGACTAGCAGAGGGGAGGCTTAGGCATTCTGAGAGACACGGTCTGTTGTTTCAGGCAT